GCTCGTCTGGGTTAGGCGATGGGGGCTTCTTCCCCTTTCTGTGGGATTTCCTTGGTCGCGTCGTGTTTCCCTGCTGTCGCCACATGGTAGTTGCTCGCCAAGCAGGTCTCGGCTGAAACTTCCTGTTGCTTACCTTCTTCCCTGTTGGATTCAGCTGTAAACGCTCTTCTAGACTGCAGCTCTGTTTTTTTTTTTTTGGGGGGGGGTGGTGTCGTCATTTTGGTATTGGTTAGTGCCGAGCACAATGAATAGATGAGTCTGGTCAAGGCTTTTTCTTTCTGTCATAAGTGATCAATAATCATCTGGCAGTAAGAGATGATCTTATTACAGAAAAAGCCAAAGTGCACAGTAAGAGCAGCTGAAATACAAGGTCAGTAACTCTTATGTTATCAACATTAAATCTACTTTGCATATTTGAAGATGATGTATTCCTTTCGAGGCAAAGGCAACTTCAAGCTTTTGATGAGCTTTCCAATATAAATAATAAGCATCAGTTTAGACAGGAAAATATCCTTGCTTTGGAGAAGGTTGCCCATCCTAAAACCTCCCCTTGCCTCTTTTAATCTTTCAGTTTAGTCAGGGTGGTCTAGGATTGCGAGGGTCTTAGGTGAGAACAGTTCTGGTAGCTAACAATACAAACGTTGGTCTGTTCCTAGTGCCCAGCAACTGCTACACGCTTTCCAGACACAAAAGAAAGGCGTAGTCTGTGGCCTGAAGATCGTGCATGCTAAAAAGGCAGTCAGCTGGAGGGTAACGCAGATCAACAAACAGCTTTGTCGCCCACTAATAACTAGCCTCAAGCTGGAAAATGTAACAGCTTGGGAGGCAAGTAATTTGTGCAGGGGTACTTCTGTCTCAGCAAGGACCGCCGTAACCCCGCGGACAAGCCTGTGGCTGCGACATGAGGAGCTGGGGCTGTGAGAGGGCGAGCCCTGGCCGGAGGAAGCACCAGGGGCAGGTGAGGCGATATCCTCTGGCGAGGGAGGCAAATGCAGCATGGAATGGGGGGATACAGCAGGAAGAGAGAGCAGGGCAGACCAGCGGCAGCGGAAGGGGTTATGCAGGGACTTGGAGCTTGAAGCTTGACATTAAAAGCTTGAAGTAATGAGTTTAATCTATGAAATCTAGTTCTCAAATTGTATGTGCTTGCCAATTAGCTAACCATTCTGTAAATCAGAATGGAATTCAGATTATATCTTTGTAAATGTGTTGACTCTGAAGTGCTGCAAGAAAAAAACAATCTGTTTTCCCTACTGAGGGCTTTAAATATGAACAAAAATCAGATCTGAGAACTGAGGAACCTTTTAATATACTCACTTTCCTGAGTTCACATTCTATATAGCATAGACTCCCACAGTTAAAATCAAAAAAACCTATGGCACTATGACTTGAGGGGGGCAAATTCAGAACAGCTGTAGGGCATTTTCACCAGTGAGCATTCTGGTTCATTTTGAGGAGGGGTCAGCATCAGACACAGTATGGATTAAAGTAAAGGAGGTATGTAGCTGTTACCATGCAAGGAGCATGCATCCCATACAAAACACTTGGAGTGGAATGAAGGGAAATGCAGCCCTCATGGTCTCCTCTGATAAACACTTTAATGTTACATGTGTATAAAAACGAGCTGCAGCGTAACCTTTATCCTTCGTTAAAGATTGTATTCATGTATATATGTATTAGTTTGTGTGGCATAACAGCTTTCAAAATGGCTGAAAGATACTGATCCAATTAAAATACTGTAAGAGAATATCTGAAAATAATTTTTAGTTTGAAATAAATGTAAAAATAAGTAATTTGAATTTTACCTTGTTTCAGCAGCTAGCAGTAATAATTCTAAGAAATAGATACAATCTTTCCTAGAGCAGTTGTTTCACTCAGATTTGACTGGTGTGGACTTAGGAAGAGTAGAGAGGAATCAATGCCAGGTATTGCCACCAAGATCAGCATCCTGTGGAGTAATATTTACATCTCTGTTTCTGAGTCTGAGAACGTTTGCTTTAGATGGCTAGCATTAAAATGGTTTATACTACAATGGATCAAAAATTCATTATGTTCGATTGGTAGTGCAGAGACCTAGTGATGCAGGCATTTTTTTGGCTGAAGAGAAGTGTTATCTACTTCATGCTAAATTTTACAGTCAAACTCTGCATTGAGATGGGTCAGCAGTATATATGATCGGGAGCTGTCTGGTTGTTTTTTTTTAATAAGGAATCTGGTGTGCTGTCTGGTTGTTTTTTTTTTTTTAATGAGGAATCTGGTGTGCACTTATGCCTGTGCATTTTTTGGTACGAGCTGCCTGTGATGTTACCTGCACACTTTCATAAAACATTCTACAAGAGAGCTGTTAGAATTTGCATGTACAGAACTTGTTTGTCTATATGTAGATCAGCTGTTACTGCAAAGATAAGTGGATACGCAGAAAGCTGTGTATGCAGAACTCGGTCCCATCCCAGTTTCCGAAAACTGGGTCCCATCTCTGTATTTTAAGATAAACCTTTGCGTATGAAGTCAGAGAAGCAAGTCAGGGGGCAGAAATAGTGCTGTGATTATGTCCCGTTTCCAGGTTATGAAAATCAGTATAATATACTTTGCAAGGACTGTACTTGCTATTAAAATACTTAAGATTTTGTCAGTGTACACCCAAAGCCTTTCGCAAGTGCTCAACACTTGCCTGACAATTGTTACAGGAAATACAATGATAAAATTTACTTGCAAAAACTTCTTGTAGAACTATGTAATGGTAATTGCTGTAAGTTTTCCTTTTAACGTGCTTTCCTACTCTTGAAAATGACTGCATACAAATGGTACCTCTTCACTCAGTTGTTTTCCCCCCTTCCCCATCTATATTTAGAATCAGATCTATTTAATTGAGTGACAAAAGTGATATCTTACTTCTGTTAACCCTGTGGATTGTGAGCTGGCCTCTCTCCTTGTTGGGGCATCAGCAGGTCAGAACTTGGATTTGGGGTTCCTGCTCTGAGTGTTCCCTGAGGCTCACTGGGTCCTGGTGCCCTCCTCTTCCTGTCCACCTGGGCTTGACACTGGTGAGGTGTTACAGAAACACTGCTGTAGGGCAAAAGCACTAAAAAGTCTAGTCCTTCTAACGGATCTTCTTGGTCCTCGCTGGCTCCTCTGAGAACTGATTCATATGGTCGTCTCCATGTAGATCGAGTGTCTTGTGAGGACTTCCGTGTTCGGTGATGCAAGCACTAAGGATCCTTCTACCTAACTATATGCCTCCAAGAAAGGAAAATGCGAGCACAGGTGGATTCTTCCAGGGGTTCTTGTGAAATGGAGCAAGCTGATTCTCTGACCTGATGAGCTTTTTAAACTC